AGACGTTTTAAGGTACAAGTTATTATGTGTTTTATTTGAATTCAATAAAAAGAATCTTTCATATTCACTCATTTCATATTCACGTTTTAGCTCCTGGAACAGGCTTTGGTAATCGAGGAGCAGCTACGGCGCGCGGCGTACCTGAATATGACTCAGGACCCCAGTCACCCAGCCATGGCCCTCAACACGCGTTTCGCAGAGGTGGAGTGCCTGGCTGAGTCCCATCAGCACCTCTCCAAAGAGTCATTGGCTGGTAACAAGCCAGCCAATGCTGTGCTGCACAAAGGTGTTATTCTAAAAATACAATAAACACCCTGATGCTTAGAAGCTTTATAAACCGAATAAAAACTAAATATACGCTACTGTTCAAAAGGTTGGGTTCTTACGCTCATCAAAAAAAAAAAAAAAAAAAATACAATACAACAAAATACAATAAAGGAACACCATTTGCTCAGATTTACATATAAACCTTAATAAAACAGATTAGAGAATACAAACAAAACAATAACATATTTCAAAAAGATGTAGAAGAGGACAAAGATTAAATGTCCAGAGAGTTATACAATTGCAAAATTCCAGATACGGGGTCCAGACTTTATAACACTGGCATGTTTTGATGTAATAAAGAGGAATCAACTCAAAAATGACCTTATGCCAATCTACAAGAGATGGAGATTTGTATTTTATTAGTATTATTTTGATATTCACTGGTGTCATTTCAGTGTTGAACCAGCTGGAGGAGCTGTTAAGCGATATGAAGGCTGACGTGACGCGGTTGCCCTCCATGCTTTCGCGGGTCCCACCCGTGTCCGCCCGGCTCCAGATGTCAGAGCGGGGCATCCTCAGCAGGCTCACCAGCCGGGGCAACGAGCCGCCACCTCAGCAGGTGACACGTCTCTTGCTATATGTGTAGTCTATAAAAGATGAATAATAAATGGGCCTAATGTGAATGAACCTTTATATTAGAATGTTGTGTTTCATCTCCCCTCAGCCTTTCCCTCAGGGCTCTTTCAGCTGTTCTCAGATGTATAATAGTAGTTTTGCCGGAGGGTTCCGTGGACCTGGAGGCACAGCGATGGTGAACTACAGCCAGATGCCCCTGGGGCCGTACGTCAGTGGTTAGTGGCCTACATTAGTCTTGAAATGAATATTTTGGTGCCCTAGAATGTTGAAATAATATTTTAAGTTAGTCTCATATCTACATAGAGGGTATTTTGCTTATTTAAGATGTCCAGATATGGTTTTACAGGTCCATTTCCAACTCTAGAAATTGGCCCTAGAATGAAATAGTCTGTTTTTACCTTATTTAGAATGGTCATGAATAATAATGAGGAGTTCTGCTCTTATTGGCTGTTTTGAAAAATAACTTGTATTAAACATTATATAAACATGTTTCTTGCCACTATTGGGCAAACAGGTCTGATCCTTCAGTAGTAGAATTAGCCTTAAAAAAATTGGGTAATTGGTTTTTTCATCTTCATGTAAACCACAATGATTTCCCTCATGTGTTAATATTTTTCCTTGTTATAATGTATGATTTGCAAAAATGAAAACTGCTGCATCTGTGTCGATGAGAGAATCAAAGTGTATGATTCCCGCTACATTATGGCCAAGCATGCATGCTTAAAATAGCATTATAGCATTTATCATTCTCTTTATAGTTATCGTCCTTGGTGTGAACGGGCTTTAAGACTTACCCGGTGACCACTGAGAAAGTTGGCAGCATCTAGGTTTAATATATGGAAGTATAATTCTGCTTTTTTCTTTTTCTTAGTGTCCTCAAATGGACCTCCAGCACCAAGCAGCTACCTGGAGAAGAAGTCCAGTGATGCTCTGCGAGATGTGGCCACCCCCGATTTGAAATCAGGCAAACCCAGCGATGTTATATGCATCGAGGACTAGCCCGCAGCCATTCCATCTTCTATCTCTACGACACAGACAGGACCACAGAGAACTCCTCCAAACAACAAATATTAAACAGCGAACCTTATCAGTTGCACTTTTTGTCTTTCAGAATCTGTACTTGTATACGCCTACAAGTTTTATTCGCTAGAGTTCCGTTTCTCTTTCATTCTTTTTTAACTTCTGCGATACGAAAGTCTTGATCGGTTAAGGAGAGACTGAGGACGCTTATGTAGAGGGCACCATTGTTCTGACAGTCCTTTGAGCTTTGTTTTTATATTATTATTTTTACATCATGATGTGTTTTTCTTGATGGCCATGAAAGACATTTTCATCTCTGCTAACAGTGAGCCATCTGGAGATGATACTAGTTCCTGGCCAGCTCAAGGACCGGACATCCCACCTGCCTCTGCTTTGCTCCTGATTCTGCTCATGAATGGTGTGTTATTGCTGCCCCTACAGGTAATTGCTGTGTAGTGCATCTAAAAACAGAATAGTGCAATGACTGTCATTTTTCTCTGGAATACTTCAGATGATTTTACGGTATGTCACCACTAATGTTATCTTTTTGAATTGTACTATATATATATATATTTTTTTTTTTTCAGTTTAAATTTACTCTTTAAGAGGAAAATGAGTTGACCCTTGGACGTTTAAATTGTGCTTTTAGTAATTTTATTTCATTATAAAAACATTAAAAAACATATAAGCCCCAAGGAAATGAATAGTACTTTTGAAAAAAAAAAACAATTGAAACAGTGTACACTCAAATGAATTGACAGCCTAATAAAAGCGTGGATAATACGAATAATACGAACTAAACAAAAATTTCAGATTGCACCTAAAAGCGGTAATAAATCAATGGCAAATGGAATGTTTTTGTGAACTAAGCTGATAATTTGGAAAAATCCAAAAAACATCCCAATTGTGGTGTTTGCTGTCAAACGTTAGAGCTTACCAACGACTTTAAGGGAATGTTTAATTATAAATGCAACGTGAACTCTATTGACATCATCTGTGGCCAGCTGTAGAATTATACAGAAATTATTTTGTCCCTCTGTTTGTAAAAACAACAAAAGTATTTAATAGTAATTAATTTGCAATGTAAGTCTAAGGGGAAACATGAATACATCATCGTCAGAATACATGTTAAAATGAAACAAACTCCGCCCATAATTCCATGTCTGGAAATGTGTTGGTAACATATAAAAGTAGTCTCACTTCAAAGGACAATTTATAGGTTGAAATTTATTTTAATTTAAGACATAAATGTAAATTTTTTACATTTTATTTTTTATATTTTAAATGCTGAATTATTCATGTAGGTATTAAACAAAAATAAGTTTCACATGCTTTTAAACACTCTCAAACGATACAATGCATTTTTAAAGACCTTTGTAAAGACCTTTTGTTTGATTTTACAAATTGAGGGACAAGCCAAATTAAATTCTGTAGTTATCAATGGCATGCCTGAAATATTTCTTCTAGTTTTTAATTTCAAAGTGATATCAGATCAACAGGAATATTAGTGCAGTGTTTCCAAATTGTCCCTGAATGGGCTCACATGTGGATACACTGAATTTGTACACTTAATTACCCACATTTTGTATTATTATTATCATATTCTTTCTATTGTCAGATGCAGTTTGCTTGACATTTTGTAAAAACTTGGACCCTGAGTGCGTCAGTTTACTAAGCCGAGTTAATGGATAGTATTGACATGATTGTTCTGGTGCCATAAGTGGTGTGGATATGGATTTCTTTTTTTTTTTTATCTGAAATGATATGCCTTGTGTAACTGTGTTTTAAGCAGCGCACTTTATATGGAGATCGGATGTGACCATAGAGACGACATCTCCTATGGGCCATTTCAAACGCAGTAGAAACCTCCTTCAATAACTCGTATACTCAGTTTCAGTCTGTGGTAGTCATGTTAATTAATGTAGATGAGGTATTTTGTTTGTTTTCTGCATCTCAGCATCAATGTAAATGGCACTGAAGTGTCATGGCTGATTGTAAATGTGATCACAGTTTCTTTTGCAGTAGTTATAACTTAAGGGGTTCATGGGGGGGGGGGGGGGGGGGGGGGTCCACACATGAGAAACCTCAAAGGATTTCAATGAAACACAAAGGCAGCCTCAAGAGTCAAGGGAACTTAAACCCAAGATTATAAAGTGAGAGCCAGCAGCATAAAATGTGTTGTGAAGTTAAGTTGTTTTTATCCTGTGTGATGAGTTTACACCATTTCATTTATTCTTTTTATAACAGTATTGATATTGAGCTCCATTTAAATGCAATCAAACTGAAGCCAAAATGAATGTATGAAGTATTTAAAAAAAAGCTTCAGTCTAATGTTAGAAGTCTCGTCATTCAAGTTCATACTAGGCTTCAAAAGCTACCAAAAGACCTTGGTCAAGACACCTTTGTTGCAATGAACGCACTGCATGTGAGATGTCTTCAGACTTTGTCCTGGTTTCTAAACAGCTATGAGCAAAACAATATTGCTATTCTGCAGAGATAAGAATATGGAAAATACAAGTGAACTACCATCATTTCACTTTGTACTCAGTGTATTTGTTTAATGTGTTTTAATAAATTCTCTCCAATAAGATTCATGGTCTTACTTTAATTTTGAGGAAATTAAATTTGAGTTAAATAAAATAGACATGTTGACCAATAAATTATTTGAGGAATGGACAGTGAGAATAGACATAACCCAGTAAACACTAAACCCACAAACATGTTCAATAAGTTATTTTTAGTCTAGTTATTGACCTCCTGTTTTGAGTCTCTTATCTTGTTCCCTGTACAGCTGGTTGTGTAAAACTACACTTGGGTTCCTCAGTCAAATGCATTTGTCTACCTCTGGAAATTGTTTAAAGTGGATAAACTGAAAATATTAGACCCCATTTTAACCTGCATTTAGCGTCATCCACTTGTTTGATCTGATAAACCAAAACTCATCTTACCACCAGGTGTAAACACTGCATAAGAGAGAACAAAGCAGATTGTCCAAAAAAAAAAAGCACAAAGAATACTGAAGACTACAAGTCAAACTTCCACAGTAGACACTTGAGGTTACAAGTCTGTAACCTCCCCCCACCTAGTAAACACCAAAACCACAAAGCCGTTTTATAAAGATTTATTTTTCAAAACAAAGTAAATACTAGATTAGTATGCAGCTATGACTTCACTTGATGCAGCCACCTCAATATTCCTGGTGAAAGACGCTTGTTTTGAGTAGTCTGAGTGTATGGAGTTGTAGGATCTTGAAAGCAAGGCTGGACAGATTGCACCACAGACTCAGAGCTTGAAGAAAGTGCTACATTACTGGGTTTCTCCAGAGGTTGGGAGCCAAGACTGAAATAACGGTAACTTGACTGCTCTGACATAGGAGAGACCTGGAATACAGGCTGCTGGGACACAGATTTGTGATGGTTTTGTGCTGACTGATGGCCACTGGGTTGGTGAACAGACTGGTAATGAGCTTGTGCTGGCTGTAGACTGATGGGCTGGGGCACAGAATTATATCGGGCTAGTGCTGACTGGTCCACAATCTGTGACCTGGCTTGGGTGGACTGCAAGCTACTGGGCTGGTTCACAGTCTGGTAATGGGCTTGTGCTGACAGCATACCACCAGGATGGACCACAGACTGGTATCTAGCTTGTGCTAACTGCATGCCACTGGGTTTGGACACTGACTGATAGCGGGCTAGTGCTGAATGTTGGCCACTGGGGTGGGAAATAGTCTGGTAGCGGGACTGTGCTGGATGTTGACCACTAGGCCAGACCACAGACTGGTATCTAGCTTGTGCTAACTGCATGCTACTGGACTGTTCCCGAGACTGTATGCTGGCTTGTGCTGACGGCAGACCACTGGGCCTGGACAAAGAGTGGTAGCGAGCTTCTGCTGACTGGACACCACTAGGATGAACCACAGACTGGAAGCGGGCCTGTCCCGGTAGTTGACCACTAGGCCAGACCACAGACTGGTATCTAGCTTGTGCTAACTGCAGGCCACTGGGCCTGGACACAGAGTGGTAGCGAGCTTGTGCTGACTGCACATCACCAGCAGGAACCACAGACTGGGAGTTAGATTGGGCTGGCTGTTGACTGCTGGATTGAGCTGACAGACCACTGGACTGGTCCACAGAATGTGAGCTAGATTCAGCTGGCTGTTGGATGCTGGACTGGTCCACAGACTGTGAGCTGGCTTGTGTTGACAGGCCATTGGACTGGTCCACAGACTGAGAGCTAGATTCAGTTGGCTGCTCGATGCTGGACTGGTCCACTGACGGCGAGCTGGCTTGTACTGACGATAAGCCATTGGACTGGTCCACAGACTGTGAGCTAGATTCAGCTGGCTGTTGGATGGAGTGGTCCACAGACTGCGAGCTAGATTCAGTTGGCTGTTGGATGCTGGACTGGTCCACAGACGGCGAGCTGGCTTGTGCTGACGACAGGCCATTGGACTGCTCCACAAACTGCGAGCTAGATTCAGTTGGCTGTTCGATGCTGGACTGGTCCACAGACGGCGAGCTGGCTTGTGCTGACGATAGGCCATTGGACTGGTCCACAGACTGCGAGCTAGATTCAGTTGGCTGTTGAACGCTGGATTGGTCCACAGACTGCGAGCTAGATTCAGCTGGCTGATGGATGTTGGACTGGTCCACGGACTGTGAGCTGACTTGTCCAGACTGCAGGCTAACAGGCCAGGACACCAAAGGGTAGCGGGAATGTGTTGACTGCAGTCCACTGGTCCGGGACACAGACTGGTAGCGGGCCTGTCCTGGTTGTTGGCCACTAGGCCAGAGCACAGACTGGTATCTAGCTGGTGCTAACTGCAAGCCACTGGAGTGTTCTACAGTCTTTGAGCTGGATTGTTCTGATTGCAGGCCACTAGGCTGGTATCGGGCCGGTCCTTGATGTTGACCACTAGGCCAGACCACAGACTGGTATCTAGCTTGTGCTGACTGCCGGCGACTGGACTGTTCCCCAGACTGTGAGCTGGCTTGTGCTGATAGCAGACCAATGGGCTGTGAGACAGACTGATAAGAGGCTTGTGCTGATTGCATCCCACCAGGATGGACCACAGACTGGAAGCGGGCCGGTCCTGCTTGTTGGCCACTAGGCCAGACCACAGATTGGTATCTGGCTTGTGCTAACGGCAGGCCACTGGGCTGGGACACAGACTGGTAGTGAGCATGTGCTGGATGTTGACCAGCAGGCCAAACCACAGACTGGTATCTAGCTTGTGTTAACTGCAGACCACTGGACTGATCCACTGTCTGGGAGATGGGTTGGGCTGGTTGGTTGTTGCTGGACTGGTCAACAGACTGTGAGCTGGATTGTGCTGACAGACCACTGGACTGGTCCACAGACTGTGTGCTAGATTCAGTTGGTTGTTGGATGCTGGACTGGTCCACATACTGTGAGCTGGATTGTGCTGACAGGCCACTGGACTGGTCCACAGACAGTGAGCTAGATTCAGCTGGGTGTTGGATGCTGGACTGGTCCACAGACAGTGAGCTAGATTCCGCTGGCTGTTGGATGCTGGACTGGTCCACAGTCTGCGAGCTGGCTTGTGCTGACAATAGGCCACTGGACTGGTCCACAGACAGTGAGCTAGATTCAGCTGGCTGTTGGATGCTGGACTGGTCCACAGTCTGCGAGCTGGCTTGTGCGGACAATAGGCCACTGGACTGGTCCACAGACAGCGAGCTAGATTCAGCTGGCTGTTGGATGCTGGACTGGTCCACAGTCTGTGAGCTGGCTTGTGCTGACAATAGGCCACTGGATTGGTCCACAAACTGCGAGCTAGATTCAGTTGGCTGTTGAACGCTGGATTGGTCCACAGACTGCGAGCTAGATTCAGCTGGCTGATGGATGTTGGACTGGTCCACGGACTGTGAGCTGACTTGTCCAGACTGCAGGCTAACAGGCCAGGACACCAAAGGGTAGCGGGAATGTGTTGACTGCAGTCCACTGGTCCGGGACACAGACTGGTAGCGGGCCTGTCCTGGTTGTTGGCCACTAGGCCAGAGCACAGACTGGTATCTAGCTGGTGCTAACTGCAAGCCACTGGAGTGTTCTACAGTCTTTGAGCTGGATTGTTCTGATTGCAGGCCACTAGGCTGGTATCGGGCCGGTCCTTGATGTTGACCACTAGGCCAGACCACAGACTGGTATCTAGCTTGTGCTGACTGCTGGCGACTCGACTGTTCCCCAGACTGTGAGCTGGCTTGTGCTGATAGCAGACCAATGGGCTGTGAGACAGACTGATAAGAGGCTTGTGCTGATTGCATCCCACCAGGATGGACCACAGACTGGAAGCGGGCCTGTCCTGCTTGTTGGCCACTAGGCCAGACCACAGATTGGTATCTGGCTTGTGCTAACGGCAGGCCACTGGGCTGGGACACAGACTGGTAGTGAGCATGTGCTGGATGTTGACCAGCAGGCCAAACCACAGACTGGTATCTAGCTTGTGTTAACTGCAGACCACTGGACTGATCCACTGTCTGGGAGATGGGTTGGGCTGGTTGGTTGTTGCTGGACTGGTCAACAGACTGTGAACTGGATTGGACTGGTTGTTGGATGCTGGACTGGTCCACATACTGTGAGCTGGATTGTGCTGACAGACCACTGGACTGGTCCACAGACTGTGTGCTAGATTCAGTTGGTTGTTGGATGCTGGACTGGTCCACATACTGTGAGCTGGATTGTGCTGACAGGCCACTGGACTGGTCCACAGACAGTGAGCTAGATTCAGCTGGGTGTTGGATGCTGGACTGGTCCACAGACAGTGAGCTAGATTCCGCTGGCTGTTGGATGCTGGACTGGTCCACAGTCTGCGAGCTGGCTTGTGCTGACAATAGGCCACTGGACTGGTCCACAGACAGTGAGCTAGATTCAGCTGGCTGTTGGATGCTGGACTGGTCCACAGTCTGCAAGCTGGCTTGTGCTGACAATAGGCCACTGGACTGGTCCACAGACAGCGAGCTAGATTCAGCTGGCTGTTGGATGCTGGACTGGTCCACAGTCTGTGAGCTGGCTTGTGCTGACAATAGGCCACTGGACTGGTCCACAAACAGGGAGCTAGATTCAGCTGGCTGTTGGATGCTGGACTGGTCCACAGACTGAGAGGTGGCTTGTGCTGGTTGTTGAATGCTGGACTGGTCCACAGACTGTGAGCTGACTTGTGCAGACTGCAGGCTGACAGGCCAGGACATAGAAGGGTAGCGGGAATGTGCTGACTGCAGTTCACTGGTCTGGGACACAGACTGGTAGCGGGCCTGTCCTGGTTGTTGGCCACTAGGCCAGAGCACAGACTGGTATCTAGCTGGTGCTAACTGCAAGCCATTGGAGTGTTCTACAGTCTTTGAGCTGGATTGTGCAGATTGCAGGCCACTAGGCTGGTATCGGGCCTGTCCTGGATGTTGACCACTAGGCCAGACCACAGACTGGTCTCTAGCTTGTGCCAAGTGCAGGCGACTGGACTGTTCTCCAGATTGTGAGCTGGCTTGTGCTGACAGCAGACCAATGGGCTGTGAGACAGACTGGTAAGAGGCTTGCGCTGACTGCAGGCCAGTGGGCCTGGATGAAGAGTGGTAGCAAGCTTGTGCTGATTGCACACCACCAGGATGAACCACAGACTGGAAGTGGGCCTGTCCTGGTTGTTGGCCACTAGGCCAGACCACAGACTGGTATCTAGCTTGTGCTAACTGCAGGCCACTGGGCTGGGACACAGACTGGTAGTGAGCTTGTGCTGGATGTTGACCAGCAGGCCAAACCACAGACTGGTATCTAGCTTGTGCTAACGGCAGGCCACTGGACTGATCCACCGACTGGGAGACGGGTTGGGCTGGTTGGTTGTTGCTGGACTGGTCCACAGACTGTGAGCTAGATTCAGTTGGTTGTTGGATGCTGGACTGGTCCACATACTGTGAGCTGGCTTGTGCTGACAGACCACTCGATTGGTCCACAGACTGCAAGCTAGATTCAGCTGGCTGTTGGATGCTGGACTGGTCCACAGACGGTGAGCTAGCTTGTGCTGACAATAGGCCACTGGACTGGTCCACAGACTGCAAGCTATTTTCAGCTTGCTGTTGGAGACTGAACTGGTCCACAGACTGCAAGCTAGATTCAGTTGGCTGTTGGATGCTGGATTGGTCCACAGACTGAAAGCTATATTCAGTTGGCTGTTGAACACTGGACTGGTCCACAGTCTGCAAACTGGCTTGTGCTGACGATAGGCCACTGGACTGGTCCACAGACTGCGAGCTAGATTCAGTTGGCTGTTGGACGCTGGACTGGTCCACAGTCTGCAAGCTGGCTTGTGCTGACGATAGGCCACTGGACTGGTCCACAGACTGCGAGCTAGATTCAGCTGGCGCTGGATGTTGGATGCTGGACTGGTCCACAGACTGAGAGCTCGCTTGTGCTGGTTGTTGAATGCTGGACTGGTCCACAGACTGTGAGCTGACTTGTGCAGACTGCAGGCTAACAGGCCAGGACACAGAAGGGTAGCGGGAATGTGCAGACTGCGGTCCACTGGTCTGGGACACAGACTGGTAGCGGGCCTGTCCAGGTTGTTGGCCACTAGGCCAGACCACAGACTGGTATCTAGCTGGTGCTAACTGCAGGGGACTGGACTGTTCCCCAGATTGTGGGCTGGCTTGTGCTGACAGCAGACCAATGGGCTGTGAGACAGACTGGTAAGAGGCTTTTGCTGACTGCAGGCCAGTGGGCCTGGATGAAGAGTGGTAGCGAGCTTGTGCTGACTGCACACCACCAGGATGAACCACAGACTGGAAGCGGGCCTGTCCTGGTTGTTGGCCACTAGGCCAGACCATAGACTGGTATCTAGCTTGTGCTAACTGCAGGCCACTGGACTGATCCAACTGGGAGATATATTGGGCTGGTTGGTTGTTGCTGGACTGGTCGACAGACTGTGAACTAGATTCAGCTGGCTGTTGGATGCTGGACTGGTCCACAGACTGAGAGCTGGCTTGTGCTGGTTGTTGAAAGCTGGACTGGTCCACGAACTGTGAGCTGAATTGTGCAGATTGCAGGCTAATAGGCCAGGACATAGAAGGGTAGTGGGTATGTGCTGACTGCAGTCCACTGGTTCGGGACACAGATTGGTAACAGTCCTGTCCTAGTTGTTGGTATCTAGCTGGTGCTGACTGCAAGCCACTGGACTGGTCTACAGACTGTAAGCTGGATTGTGCAGACTGCAGGCCACTGGGCTTGGACATGGACTGAGAGCGGGATTGTTGAGACTGCAGGCCACTAGGCTGGTATCGGGCCTGTCCTGGATGTTGACCACTAGGCCGGACCACAGACTGGTATCTAGCTTGTGCCAAGTGCAGGCGACTGGACTGTTCCCCAGACTGTGAGTTGGCTTGTGCTGATAGCAGATCAATGGGCCGTGAGACAGACTGGTAAGAGGCTTTTGCTGACTGCAGTCCACTGGGCCTGGACAAAGAGTGGTAGTGAGCTTGTGCTGACTGCACACCACCAGGATTAACCACAGACTGAGAGTTAGATTGGGCTGGCTGTTGACTGCTGGATTGGTACACAGATTGTGAGCTGGCTTGTGTTAACTGGAGGCCACTAGGCCGGGACACAGGCTGATAGCGGGCCTGTTGGATGCTGTAGAAACTTTGTGATTTCACATCATCCTTCACAGGGAAAACAGCCTCATTGTATACAGGATAACGTACACTCTTAACAAAACCATCAACTAGAAACAAGAAAAAAAGGATACAAGTCAAATAGACATGTTAGCAAACCTGAATTATAGAATTTTGCTGGATAAACCTTACCACTTCCAATATGGCTACAGACACGAAGACTGAGAAGTGCCAAAGAAAAACTGTGAAAAAAAAAATTGTTTTTTAGAAAAATGCCAGTGTTAAAAGCCAAATACAAAAAAACAAAAAAACAAATGCCAAATACATCAATTTATCACCATACCTTAAGAGTCGGATGGTAGTACCCTCCATAGCCAGCCAAAAACACAACTCAGCAAAACCACTATAAAATTATAAAAACATACTTTCTCCCCAACACATGTTAGTGTTTCTGAACTGGGCTTTTTATAGTGCCATCAACTACCATTTATGAATTGTTTCCTGACAATCAGTTGTCATGGGAACATCTAATCCCTAATTAGCAGGTTCAGGTGTCACAACTCTGATCATGACAACTATCGTTTCATTCATAATATTTATTTTTATGTACTATAATTAATTAACAGAAAGCACACAATTTAAAACATTTTTATGAGCATCGATTATTATTCTATTTGAAGTGGAAATAATTGTTACAATTGTGACAAGTGGTATGTGACCATATTAACAAGTAATCTATTTGATACGTTAATAATTTTGAAGACTATTACAGTGCTATAATATTCCATTTTCAGGACATTTCATTTACAATAGTCTGTTATATTAATGTGTATTACGTTTTGTTACTGTTTAAAACTAGTCAACGAATAATAGTAAGAAGTGGAATGCAGATAATGCTGATCCTTGTCTGGTGGGTCGATTATTCGTCGATGTGTTGGTAATGCCTTGGGTCTCCAGTAGGGGGAAAGTTCTCTTCCTCATTCAATACAGACAAGTGAAGGCGAGAGTCGCGTGTGTTTCCTCAACCTTCACCCGTTACTTTTCCCCTTTTAAGGTAATTGCCACTCACAAAGCAATGTAAACTTTAACATATGTTGATAATATAACAAAACATCTTCTGAGTTAGCATGAAACTCTTTGACAACATACTCATACAAAACGTATCTTTTACTCATAAAAACAGTAATATATGTTGATAATATATTACGTTATGTTACTGTTTTTTATGAGTAAAAGATACGTTTTGTATAAGTATGTTGTCAAAGAGTTTCATGCAAACAAAGAATATGTTTTGTTATTTTTGCTTTAAGGTTTATTGTGTATTGATCACATTAACTCACACTAAGGGTGAGTTAATTTTATGCTGATACAAAGAATATTGTTAAAAGTTAGTGTTATGTAAGAACTAGTATTAAAATGTCATTTGATAACTTTGGTTAATTCACATTTCATGTGGTAATTTAGTTAAAAAGATCATTTAGAATGTAGTAGAGAGACATGTGACGTGGTCCTGAATCTAATCAGTGCTTGAATATTGTATGGTTATATGGACATATATATATATACAAAACAAAAGTTTTGCGTTTATAACATTAATTTTGTTCAGCGTATACGCTGAACAAAATTAATGTTATAAACGCAAAACTTTTGTTTTTGCCTCCATTTTTCACGAGCTTCTTCATCTGTCGCTAGCTCACTTAGCTGGATTTGCTACTTACTGTATTGACCTGCCTCTCTTTCCTCGAATGCTGATTTGAATGCTGGGAATCCCTGGGATAGTTCTGCCGTCAAGTTCTCTCAAGTTACCAACCGCACATTTTGGTACCGAGTTACACATCCGGGATTTTTTACCATTCTTGCCAAAATGCAAACTTGTGTATTGGGACAGTACTTGGGCCACAAAGATGACGTTTCATAAGAACGCAAGGACACAAGTACAGATGAACGCAGATTGAGAAAGGCCCATCATTTTTCTCATGATGTTTACATCATTCATTTGTTGGAAATGCATAAATGTTTACTATTGCAATTCTTATCCAGATTTTATAATATTATATCAAATTTTGATATAATTTGAAGAGCGAGGACGCGCTGGCCCAAAACTGGCCCAGCCGCCTGCTTTTACGCCTTCCCACCTGTCTCACTGTTGCCACAGGTAATAAAGAGAATCAGGGAAACGCGCCACTCGGTGCTCCTCATAGCCCCGCGTTGGGAGAATCAGACTTGGTTCCCGGAGCTGTCACAGATAGCCCTGTGGCCCATTCCGGTGACAATAGATCTCATCTCTCAGGCTCTTGGCTTGATCTGGAATCTGGTTGTTGAAACCATGTATTTAAATTTTACTCCTCCCAAAAATGCTAAAAAATAATCGTGTGAGAGCGTGTTATAGGCTATATGTCATGTTATAGTCAGATATGACGGTGCTACTACAGCACGCATCACCTCAGATGAGCATCTCAACTGGGACAGTCACATCATTCACAGCAGTTTCTTTGATTTTTATAGGGAATGAAAGCGAGGCTGTGAGGGATAGGCACATCTCTTCGGTGGGTTGTACTGTTATTTAATGTGATTTTGCAATGCTCTGCTGTTTTTTGAAAAACACTGCAAAATCTTTCCAAGAAATTTCAGTGAACCAAACTCCAGACAACATGAGCTGTGATATGAGATTGCAGCAATTTACACAGGTGATTGAAAACCTGGTAAGTCTATCCCTCATAACCTCCCTTTACCTGTTATGGCGTTGCTCTGTGTACGTTGATTTGTGTACTCCCAATTTGTGAGTCGTTTTGGATAAAAGTGTCTGCTAAATGATCAAATGCAAATATTAATATTCCTTATTGGTCGCCTTTTTCATGAATATAAATTTTCTTACTTACTGCTCAATCATCTACTAATCATCTACAATCATCTACTGCATCTATGCAGCTTTAAACAAAAATAACCTTGCAGTCCAAACATTTGGAAAAAGTAGACATCATGCTCGTGGTTCAATTAGAATTGAAGTATACTTAGAAAAACAATGCACAATTTCTGCTTTATCAACTAACAGTCAGTAACACACAGACATGCATGATGTGCTCGTAAAAATGATGAAATCAGAGATCGAAATCTGATCACAGACACGTTTTGGACACATGTAAATAGATCACCTAAAACATGTTTTGACACCAGGTATAATTGAGTACCTCATAATGCTATAGTCCTCAATGCATGTCTGATGTTAAAACAGGGGTGGGCACACCAGTCACCATGTTCGTTATCCCAAAAATGGATCCAGTCAGCTACACAGTATTTATTTATTATACTTTCATAAACATGCCATATATTAAATGTGGCTAGGGCTCACTGGAGTCAGATTAATCACCCCTGAGTCAGACTGACACACCCCATAAGTCCATAAAGAGCACAGTGTTGACATCTCTGTAATAAAAATGCCCATTCAGCAGATGAGGGTCTCATCTGAAAACAGCTCTCACCACAGGAAAGCTCACAGGAATAGTCCTGCTAGATTTTTCTGTTGGCATGTATTTTCTCATAACAAATCTGGACTAAAATTACCAGCACTTTGCTCCAGTTTTTTTTTTTACACACAATTTCAATAAAGACGAAACATCTGTATTTTTGCATTTGAGAACTGCAGATAATAAATATACCTCCTAAAGCTCTAAACAGAACTGTACATTATTGACACAACATAAAGCCAAAAGCCATGCAAATTTGTGAGGGGGAAAAACTGTTATCATTGAATTAATTCGATATTAATATAAATATATATATACAATATATATTTTAAAAATATATATACAGCTGCTTGACCAAACCAATGCTATAAGACTTTTGAACAGGCAGCACATATACTGCTCCCTTAAATGCAAAAAAATATTCTCAATACAAAAATAATGTATTTTAATTCATCCCAAAAAGTGCTTTGTGTGCTGTCTTTCTGTTCACTGTGTTCAGTACTAGCCAGTGACCAGCCTGTGGCCAACAACCAGGACAGCCCAGCTACCAGTCCCAATCCAGTGGCCACCAGTCAGCACAAATTTGCTACCAATCTGTGTCCCAGCAGCCTGGATTCCAGGTCTTTCCTATGTCAGAGCAGTCAAGTCATGGGTCTTGTTCCAGTCTTGGTTCCCAACCTCTGGAGCAACCCAGTAATGTAGCACTTTCTTCAAGCTATGAGTCTGTGGTGCAATCTGTCCAGCCCATACATGCTTTCAAGATCCTGCAACTCCATACACTCAGGGCGTTTTCACACCTAAAAATCCGCACCAAGGTCCAAAACTTTTAGAAAGTTTTGGTCTGGTTTCACACTGCAATTTAGCAAGCGCACTAAAGATCTTTACGGGACATACGTGCGTCCTGTCGTCATCATCTATGTGGGCTGCATCTTGACATTGATTGGATTAGTGAACGGATGTGCGTCTGACGTCTGACTACTCAAAAAAGCGTCTGTCTCGAGGAATATTGAGGTTGTTGCATCAAGTGAAGTCATACTTTGTTTTGTTTTCTTAATTCAGTGTTTGCTTATGAAAAAACAACGACTTTAAAATAGGTTTGTGCTTTTGGTGTTTTCACATAAAGTGTTTTAGAGGGCTTTTGCATTATAAATGCATGCCCTCACATTAAAGTCTGAAGGTTGCGAGATGATTCCCGTTGTCTTGCTGACTGCAAGATGAGCTAATTTCTTGGTCATTGATAGGTACTGTGTTGAAAATGTGGATTTTTATATAATTTACATATACATTTATAGAAGGATAGAAATTTGTTTTTCCCACTGCATGTTATGTATCCTCAAATCTGATATGTTTGAATGCCATCACTGCACAATAATGATCACCAGCACGGTTAATACTATTTAGTCCACTTTTGCACAGCTTGGAGATGCTGTAATCCCTGTCTCTCTTTCTGTCTTTCTCTCTCTCTCCCTCCCTCCCTCCCTCCTTCTCCAGGCTTGTCTTACTCTTTTTTCTCCCTTCTAGACTCTGCCCCATGACCAACTAGCCTGACTTTAATTGGATGACAAGTCTGTCGGCAGCTCAGCCATTGGTGGAGCTTAACAGCTATTATGCTTGTTCAGAAGAGCCTAACTGCACAACAGCAGGGGAGGGAAGGAGCGAAAGAAAAGACGGGAGCGACAGAGGCCGGGGGAAGAGGGGGGCTCATTTAGCCTACGAAAGCAAGGAGGAGTGGAGCGGTTAGTGCGCAGAGTCGGGAACTTGCTGCCTGTGGGAAAGTAAACAGCAGTTCTTGCCGCCCTCTCAGAGGCCTCAGTCCAACAGCAGCAGATAAACAGAGGATGAGGATGTGTTCAAGGAGACAGCTGATTTCATAGCAGGAAGTGCATGGGAGGTTGTTGGGATTAAAGTCACTCTTGGGAGGTGCTGAAGCTTTCCTGTGGTAGTACTACTGAGGACAAAAAGGTGAGTTGTTCTGTTTATTGGTCTATCAATGTGACATTTTCTCTCACACACTAACACTCTAAGTTTGCTCCCCTTTCATGCAACAAAGGCA